TTGAGTGGTTGTTTGATAATAAAAAAAGGGCATCCAACATAGCACCTGAGGTGTGAAGGTCACTGATCATAATTTCTGTACAACACCTTTATGAGGAAACATGTATTGCTGGATTTATTTACTGGAAGAGTAAGAACTCAGCAGTATTAAATAGCTCATCCAGGAGGTAGAGGAGGAATTCTGAAGTGCTAGCTAGGGAATCTCTAATCTTAGCCCCTTTCACTAACCCTGAGGCAAAAATGGCTGTTTGCATATCATTGCTCTTGTCCAGAGAGTCAGAACACATACCTGTAGATTACTTTTTTGCTGTTGGAAGTAGATGCTGGGAACCTCAGCAGCTTGGGCAAAGAACTCACTTCTGCTAAGATCTTCTCGGAGGCACAAGGTGAGAAGGAGGTTTGTAAAGAGCTCTGCTCTTCTTGGATTTACCTCCCAAGGACAGACGTGCTGGGCTGGGCTTGCCTTGCGCAGCTCAAGACTGAAGGCATTTATTGCTGGTGCCCATCTACTTTGCCTTCTGCTGCAGGGGTGCAGCGTGAAATCAGAGCCCTGAAACAAAGCTTCCCCCAGACCCTCCCTACCCCACAGGTCAGCGTCTGAGTGAGGGCTGATCAGCTCCGGGGTGTTCTTCATGATAAGCTGATCCGTATTCAGTTGTACTTCTGATTAGCAGCGTGAAGGTTTCTGTTCTACTCGGAAGAGTGCAGAGGTGGAGTTTGCTTGAGGGACCTGGTAGGTAGAAGTCTGGCAAAGCTTTCCTGGCTAAGGTAAAATAGAGGCTTTTGGTTTTTTCCAGGTTACTGAAAATACAGCTACTGAAAATCTTCCTTCATTTGGCTGTAAGACTGTCAATTGTAGCAGTGTGGTCACCTATTGAACGCAAATGTGCTGGAGCTGGTGGGAAACAGTGAAATTGTATGACATTGAGTCAGCAACAAAGACAAGTTATTTTAAAAAATAAGCTCAGTTATTAGGCTCCTGTAGGCTCCAATTTCTGCAATTTTTCCCACAGCTTGCAGGAATTCCAGAAATCATGTAGGCTGTGTAAAAATAGAGAGCTCTGTTATGAAAATACTGTAAAATGGGCTGGTAGAGGAGGGAATGCTAACAAAGAACAACTGCACACCCAACAGATACTTGGCTTCTAAACCTTTACTTACAAGGAGCATGCATTTTGATGGATATATTGTCCTTTTGGCAAGGATGTAAACTAAATAGAAGAAATGAGAAAGAAAATTCACAAGAACAATCTAAGGATGAGTTTGTAGTACAAAGATGTTTAGCTACCTGGAGAAGTAGCTGTTGCTTCTGAAATTGGAAATGCAGATTTATAGCCCATAGCTTCAGGGAGTTTTGTTTATGACGGGAAAACTTTAACCTTCATAAACCTTTGCCCGGTATGCCACTACATACACTCTTCCTCATTTATTGAGAAATAGGACAGGTTAGTCTACATTAGTTACTTTTAAAACAAAATGTGTAACCCATTGTGTTTTAAGTGTGTATTATGAGTAACGTAGCTATAAAACCATCTTTCCTCCTGTAAGTGTTTTCTCTATTTTAAGGTATAAAGAAGGCCTGGGAGTCTTGAAATCCATATTCTGTTCTCAGTTCTTCCATAGTCTTTCTGTGTCACCTCCAGTAAGACAGGTAACAACTTGGTGCCCCAATTTCTTTGTCTCTACAGTAGCTGTAAAAATGCTCTTCACAAGTGTATTGTAAGCAGACATTAATTAAATCCGTATGAAGTGATTCAGAGTATTTGGATCAAGGGCACATATGTAGGATATTTGAAAATAGATCATAGAATTAAGTGTTGATACACTATTTGTTACTACTTCTGTTTATGGTTTTGGTGGTGGTTTTTTTTATGTTTTCTTTAGCCAGTTGCAAATGTGGACCAGGAGACCCTGGCAGAGCTGGTGAAGCCAAGCATTGACTATGTGCGTCATAAAAAATTCAGATCTGGGAATTACCCATCGTCACTGAGCAATGAGACTGACAGACTGGTTCACTGGTGCCATGGTGCCCCCGGAGTCATCCACATGCTCATGCAAGCTTATAAGGTGAATCCTTCTGTGTTCATATAGACCTCTATTTTTACAGAGACATCTGTATGCAGGCCTGTTAGATTGTAAGGCTTGCATTTTACGTCTTTCTAGAGCTAGACTTTCAAACCAGAACCGTAGGCTAGGCACCTAAAAATCTCAAAATACTTACATAGGTATGCTTGTAAAGCTGAAATAAGTGGGTAAAATTGCTTCTCAGGGTACTAATTAGACTACTGCTAGACTTTAGGCTTTCTTGGAAAAGGGCCCTGTATTTAAACAATTTAATATTAGAGTTCTGGTGAGAACATTGACCTAAATTCTTCATCCTAAGAGTTTTAAGAACTATGTTTGTTTTCAAAAGCGTAGGTTCATGTGTCTTGCCAAAGAATGTCTTCCATAAATTACTCCATTATTAAGATATAGCTCTTGAGAACTTAACGTCAGAGCAAAGATCCCAGGCCCCTTCTAGGGCATAAATATAACTGCTGAGCTACCACAAGCCTACTGTTTGCTCTTCTCCATCCTTAACTAGGTTTTCTATCTCTCGTGTTGTGCACTTCTGATTTGCATGACATTTGAAAGTATGCCATTTAATTAAATTTATGCAAATTGATTCTTTCTTTTGACAGCCCTCCTTGGCAGATTCCCTGGTTGGCCTCTGGGTGGGCTGCTGAAAAGCAGGCTTGGTTTATGGAATAATTACTCATGCTGCTACCTGAAATGTGAACTGTAAATCTCTTACAGCATTGATGTATGTAGCAGCAGTCACAGTTGCTTTTTCTTTGGACTGTGGTAGGACATTGACTTAACACTGCAGACTTCTTTTTTTTTTTTTTTTTTAATTCTTTTTCCCCTTCTTTGTCAATGTGATGCTTTCCCCAGCACAAAATGTTTTGCAGGAGATAAGAGGGATAGGACCAAGTTCTGTTTAGCAGTCTCCTTTCTGTCCTCTTTCTATGTTTAAGGTGATGGGGCATATGATGCTTTTCCTTTTGCTCTTTATATTCTGCTTTTTGAAGAAGCGGTAAGAAAAATTGCAGTATGTTTTGCTGGCTATGCTTTTATACCAAGCACAGAGACTTGCAGTAACAGACAGCCGTGTTTGTCCTGGAAATCAAATGCTGTTGCCAGGCCTTAATTTGAAATGTTACAGCTAAGTAGCTGACAAACTCTGTTCAGAGAGAGGGACTTTCTTTATCAAGCTTGTGGATTTAAGAATCTTGCATGTTAATTGCTTCTATTACCTTATTAAATAGCCTGGCAGGGGATGCTGTCTCTAAAGGACTAAGTCTACAGTAGTGCATCTGTTACTTTTCTTTTTGTCTCGTTGATCTGTAGAGTTACTTAGGCAAAGAGGAGCAAAAAAGTAGCCTTTAAAAGGTGGAAGTCTGGTGGTGTTCAGCTAAATTACTTGCTTTTGTTTTCTGCTCTCTTGATGGGCTCTCTATGTCCAAAATGCACTTCAGTTGAAATAAACTGCAAAATTAGTTATTTGCCCAAACTGGCTAGTGCTTCTGAGTATTTCCAATACAAATACTAATCAAGGTAATGGAGTGTTCCTACTTGTACCTGTGACAGAGAAAAGAGCCCTGTGCTATGCAAAGAGATATTCTTGCGCATTTTGGACATGGAATTGAAGGCAGATGGTGAGTAACCAGGAAGAATTACTCAGGAAGACCAAGACCCAGTCCTTTAGGACCAGATTTGATGGCCAGTATTCTGTGTAACATTTCTTGGAGAAAAGAATTACATTTCTGTGTTTCAAATCAAATGATGTTGTGGTTTGGGAATGGAGGGGAGAAGGAAAAAAGGGCCACGTACCCTTCAAATAGATTATAGGCTGTAGAACAAAGGGCCTTGAACTTGAGTTTTTCCTTTGGGCTCCTGATTTCAGAAACAAAAACTTGAGAAGTTCTTTCTCAGGGGAAAGGAGGGGAAGGAGGGACAGGGAAAGGAGAAACAACTTAGTAAGAAAAGAAAGGCAAGTCTATGATGAATGGATTATTAAATTCAAAATAAATTGTGTATGGAAAAACCCCACACCAACAGCGAAACATCTGTCAGGTCCAGCTTCCTTTTGTTTTCATTAGTACTTCAATTTATGTGTGTTTATTCTCTGTTTTTTATTCCACAGACTTTTAAGGAGGATAAATACTTGAAAGATGCTATGGATTGTAGCGATGTCATCTGGCAGAGGGGTTTATTGAGAAAAGGATACGGGATCTGCCATGGTACTGCTGGCAATGGCTACTCCTTCTTGTCTCTCTATAACCTAACTCAGGACAAAAAGTACCTCTACCGAGCTTGCAAGGTGAGCTCTGCAGCATCCCAACAAACTTACTGTTCCCTTTCACGTCACAACATCCAAGCAGGAGTAAACTGTGATCGGAGCAGGCTGTTGTGTGCTAGAGCTGGAGCTGGCTGGCTGCGCAGTTGGGTGGGACAACAGGGTCCCGTCACTTGCTGCCCTTTACTCACACTTTGACTGGACGACTTCAACTGTGTACATGGGGCATGCACCGTCTGAATACGCAGAATGAAATGCACAAATGTTCTGTAAGGGGGGAGGAACTAAACACGTATTCAGAAGAAAATAGTCTGAAAATCAGCCTGCCTGAACAATAACAGACTAATGTTATGTGGTGCTAATTATTCCATTGAGACATCCGCTGTCATCCTCAGCTCCTCAAGCGATACTGTTTGTAGTCTCTGTAATTATTTGTTTTCAGACTAGTGTCTGTTTGGGGCTTTTAGAGCTCTGAATTGCAGTTATTAAATTGCTCACTTAGATTTTTTTCATTAATACAAATTGCAGAGAAAGACACACTCAGAATTTTTCCACTGGAATTGTCCAGGTTCTGCTATCAGCTCTGACTATGCTAGCAGTTACCGAAGGAGAAGGCTTTCTCTGCCTGTTTCCTCATAAGACTTTGGTTTGGTTTTGGTTTGGTTTGTTGGGGTTTTTTTCAGCTTAATTCACTGATACTACGTTTCATATTGCATACATAGCTATTTAGTTGGGACCTTTTTAAAAGTATTGCAATGGGAAATTTGATGAGTTGCTGCTTAGGTGCTTTTAGATGAGCACTGGCCGTATGTAAAGCTATTGTATTCACCTCCACTGTCAGCCTGTCCTCCGCCAGCAGAGCTTGAGAAAGTTGCTGCTTGTCTTACATTTACCAAAGCATCAGGCCATGAGGACACCTGTAAGCACGACTGCATCCTAGAGAACGTAATAAACCCCTAGCGCTCCCACGGCAAATGTATGACTTTGTTACATGTGGACTCACCCACTGCTGACGTGTGAGCCACAGCACAACAGCATTTCTGTTGGCACAGCTATTGGGCTCCCCCTGTCATCCTCCATGCTAGTACATTTTCTGTGTCTCTGTGCAGCATTGGCAACTCCTGTTGGTGCTGCATTTCTGGCCCAAGAGAGCCCTGACGTTCTTCCATACCAAGCTAGGGAAAAGCAAGCATATCTATTTCAAAGCCAAAAAAGGAAGAGACTCAGTTACGTACCTGCAGTCCCTTTGAGAAGGAAGATGTGGCACAGTGGCCAAAGGCTGTTTGCTGGAGGTGCCCAGCATAGTCAGGTCTGGCAGCATATTTGCAGCCATTCTGCATTTTAGCATCTCCAGCATTCAGTCAGGCCCTTTGGGCTCTTGCAGGGCAAATCTTGAAACAGGCAGAGGAATTTGCTTGTCTCGCATTCTTGAAATCTTTTCTTTTTGAGCCAGAGCATGCAGGGAAGCAAGCGTGCAGTTACGTTGGTACCTAAAGGCATGTAACTGAGAGAACTAGATGGCTCCCCTCCCAGGGGTGTTTGCTCACACTGAAAACATGAGGCCCAGGGGAAGGAGTCTGGCCAGGAATCCCTGGTTACCTCTCAGGAGCCATGAAGCTGTTTCATAAATGAACCAGAAGAGCTTGAAAGACCATGGCTCACAGAGACCCCTGGTTTGTGCTTCTCACTTTCGGCTTCGCAGCTTTTCTCCAGCTTTATCAACAGGCTCCCAGGAGGCTGGGCCCTCCTAGCTGCCCTGCCTGTGAGAGGAGAGAGGGGCTGTGGCATCCTGGGCTCCAGGCAACAGAGAGCATCTGAGCCCTGTGCTGCTCAGCGTTGTGATTAAACCACTGCTGATAGCAAGCATGCCCAGTCCATGTGACAAATAATGGCAGATATCTTCTTGCTAGAAGATTTTTTTTTCCCCCTTGGTTTAACAAAGATATTAGTGTGGCTTACTGGATCTGTGAGTTGTGCTGAAGCTATGAACTTGTAAATGATGGTTGTGCTTCAGTAGCCTGGGGTGCATTTTTTTAATTTCTGTTGCAGTTCCCAGGCTGGCAGTAATAATAAAAGCTAGTAATAAGATGTGGATGTTGCAAGAATTGATTGTAGTTTAGAAACATGCCATAAACATGTTCTGTCCTCACATGTAAGACAAGATTACATGGAGGATTAAACCTTGCTTTGAAGATTTATACCCGTGGGGGCCCAAAAATGTTTCATCAGTTCTCAATAACAGCGTGGACCACAATGTTTGTGGGTTTTTTGCTGGGTTTCTTCAAGACGTTCACACACATGCACACACACCTACCAAGAGAAGAAAAATCCATTCCCCAATAAACATTTAAACAGAACAGAGTGGGGGGAAGAAGGGAGGAGATGCCACCCTTTATCCTCCTGTTGAACAGATTGATGGCTCTGGGGGCATGCTCACACCCCATATAGCTCCAACTCTAGAGCTGGGGCACCCTCTAGTTAGTAGGATGATCTGTCTGTTAGCAGGTTTCCCAAATTGCAGGGGGAGTGGGTTCTTTGCTTTGCAGGAATCTTCTCGCTGTATCTTGAATAAGCAATGGCTTGCTTCCAGGCACAGAAATGCCAGGGGAACTTGTGGCCTGTATGCTCTGGGGAGCCATAAAGGAGAAATAGATGGTTGCTATTAAATTGATCCAGATGTGGTTCATAAGTCACATATCTCTAACGTGGCTACTGCAGCAGTGTTGATCAAATACAAAGACACTGATAACTCTTTTTAATGGTATTCCATCTTCTGCAACAAAATATTGATGACCATAATTGTCTAACTGTATTTATAACGATTTTTCAAAAGGCTTGGGGAGAGCAAATAAATAAAACTAAGTAATGGCAGCTGGAGATTTAATACTCTAAATTGGTGCAAGAAAACCAAAATGCAATTAACAACCCTAAGTCCTGAGCACGTAGATAAATTAAGCACCAAGACAGATAGGAAACTGATATAGTATTAGAAAAATTTTGCCCTTGAAACTGAATATACCTGTTCTCACAGCATTTTTCATTGACGTGTTGCAGGGTTGATTTACAGAAAACAGAAGTTAAGTACAGTCCACCTAATTACATTGTTATGAAACTGAAACTTGTGCTAAAACCTAATTGCAGCCTTGTCACGGTTGAAGTGGGACAAATTGATCGCAGACAGTGATTTCTGTGTTGTGTCTGTGCTTACTCTATTTTACATTTAGTACCTATTAAAGATATGCAGCTACTCAAGCTTGCATTTAACAGTCTTAAATAAAAAAAAAAAATCTCTTTTTTTTTTAACGTTTTCCCCAGTTTGCTGAATGGTGTTTGGAGTATGGTGCACATGGATGTCGTATTCCTGACCGACCTTATTCTCTCTTTGAAGGTAAAGTGATGGTGTTGCAAATGGTATTGTATTATACAGGAAAGAAGGGCAACCTTGCAGTTTTGGCACATGCTTAGGAGTTCGGAAATCTTTGGTGGGTTCCTCTACCATTAAAAATAGACCCACGCTCTACCACCACCTCTGCCTAAAAGAAGGTGGGGGGCAGGGGGGGAGAAAAACACAAAAGAAAATAATTCACTATCACGGCTTTCACTCTTGGTTGCATTTCAGCAGTTTCAATGTAAAGCCAGTGCCACTGTCATTCCTGAATAAAATTCTGCTGTGCTGATGCCTCTTGGCTTAAAGCAAATGGAAGTCCGGGCAACAGTTTTGTCGCAGGTGTTGTTGCAGAGGGACTGGGCAGAGGAGCAGCTGTGGGTAGGGGGTCTCAAATAGTTGCTGGTTTGTCAGAACTAGACCTTCTCTGCTGCAGTACTAAAGCAAGGAAAAGCTAGTTTTAATATGAACCCAAATTACTTGGACAGAAAAGAAATGCAAAGTTCTCAGGAGTTTTTCTCTAAGTTCAAAGATGTTCCTAAATACTTTCCTAGAGCTTCGTAATTCTTTTATTTGTAGTTTATTTTCTATTCCCTATCTCATCCTTACGTTTTAGAAACACAGTAACAAGGAATCATAGCTACCTAGCAAGATCCACGTAGGATTTAAAGTAGCGCTGCTACTTCATGAACAGTGAGCCTAGTGTGCCATCTATCACAAGAATGTGAAATTACAGCAGACCAAATAGGATTATTTTACAAATAAACCAATCCAAGGTGTGAACACAAGAGAGCAGTAGTTATATGCATCCCTTCTAAATACAGAGTTATTGTCTTAACGTTTAAGGGAGAAAAGTGTAAGTATTCTTATTCCTGAGGGCGCCCTTGCATGCGCTTGTAGAGAGGAAAAAGCAGGCATACAATCTGTTGTATAAAAGCTTTTGAAATTTGTCGAGAAGGTGAAGTAATGCTAACAATAGGATGATTTGTGCTTTAATGCTGACATACAGATTTTGCTTTAGTTTTTTAATGTCTGGGGTTTTTTTTTTTTTAGAAAAATCTAGATGTCTCAAATTTGAGACAAAAAAGTCTTAATTTTGAGGGTTTTTTTGTAGCCAAAATTGTGCTTGAAGCTGTCCAATTCTGCATGTATGTGCACACTTTCAGTGGAAGTTGCGTGTGCATCTTATGGGATTGTCTTAATCGTTTAATTTGCATCAGATGCTGTATTTCAGGAAGGTTCCTTTGTTTGTATATGCTTAGCTATTGATAAATTAGGATTTTAGCTTGATCATAAAACTGAGCTTGTATTTGTATGCTCTCCTGCTGTAGGGTGCCTCTGTTGTCTGTCACCCTAACAGTTTTGTTAGGTGATGCTGGTGTTAGTGCGTCAGGCTCTGGATGACCTCTTTATGAATAGCGAACAAATGAATCTGTACATCACAAGTATAATAAAGTTTTGCCTTTGTTTTTTCACCAGTGAAATGATGAGCAAGAGCTGCTCAAATTCTGAGGGACAGTTCAAATTGGGATTTACTTTTTCCTAATTGAAGTAGCATTGAGGTTGTGCAGCTGAAAAGATGGTAGCAGAGAGATCTTGGTTCTTGCCTTTGATCTTTTCAAGTGAAACTTGGTTTCCTGGGCAAAGTACAGATGAACTTGCCTTTCTATAAGCCCTAAGTTCACCTGTTCAAAAAAAGATCTAGTGAGGAGGTGTTCAAACAGGTGCTGTCGCTTTTGCTGCTGCCTTTGCTATTTTAATGTCAAAGATGCACAAAGATCTCTTTCTCATTATGTTTCAGGCATGGCTGGAGCTATTCACTTCCTCTCAGATATTTCAGTACCGGAGACTTCCCAGTTTCCAGCGTTTGAACTTGGACCTCAAAGGAGGGAAAACAAAGTGAAACAGGACAGCTAAAAGATCATTTTGAAAGGAAACTGATGCCAAAAGAGATGATACTCTGATACTGAACCAACTCGACCCTGAACCGGATGGAACCCCTTTTCTCTCACCCCCCTCACCCCCACACCCCAAAGGACCATGAAGTCATTAAAGCATGAACAGGAGAAGCCACATTTAAGTTCTGTTAAAGTGACACTTTCAGATGTAGGACAAGAGAAGTTAAGTTTTGAACTTTCTCTCTTCCGTTGTATTTGTCTTCTTCAGGTCTTTGACATGCTCTGCATGTTTATTGGTGTTGTCTGTTGATTCGAGTCTTTTGTTGTTAGGAAAAAATCCGGTCTCTGTGTGAATCTCTGTCCTGTACCTTCACGCATGACTCACAACAGCAGTGTTGCTTTCTGCAGCGTGGTTACCCAGCAAGTTCCACCTTATGCCAGAGAGTTTGCTGCAGGACAGTGCCCAGCTTCACTGGTGAGCTGACAACTTTAAAAAGAGATGAAAAACGTTTTTATGTTCATATTTTTCTGCGTTTTTCTCCACGGTCCCTAGAAGCTAAGGTGATGGAGATGAGCCTTTTTTGATGAAGAGGTATGAGGCCATCTCAGTTTTCAGAAACTTAGGAGGTTGGAAGGAGGTTGGACTTGTCTTTTGCTGCTGTTGTGGGAGGTTTTTTTGAAAGCCTGAAAGAGAGGCTCCGTTTGACACCTGCACCTGATTAGTGTGTTAGGCACTTAGAGCAGGGTGGAGATGCTCGTTCCCACCTCTGCAAAGCCCCATCCTGTGGCATAAGTTTAACAAACTGAAGGTGGAGTCACCCATACTAACCTCCCACTGCCGCCAAGAGTGGAGCAGGGACAGCATAACTGTGCTTCTACTTTCCTATATGTGGATTTGAAGTAAATCTGTCCTGCAGCATCTAGTATACAAATGAGTAAGGGAGGGCGTCAGGGCAGTTTCTCATGCTGGTAACTCGGGGTGACTGTTGCTTCCAAACCAAGGTGGTGATTTGTTCTGGGCCCTTCGCTCCCTTTCCCAGCCCTGCTGCATTTAGCCCATATAGTATGATAGGAACGATAAATACCAGCTGCCTGTGGAGGCTGCAGAAGGTTAATGAGCAATATGAAACCATTGCTAGAGGCTGTAATTGAAGTTGATTTCATCTTAAAATCCAAACAGAAAAAGCCCTTTGCCCTTAGTTTTAACTGTGCTGCCAGTGCTTTGCTTCCCCTTGTAGTGTGGTGGGGTTGTGAAATACTAGTCCTGCCTCCAGGTGTGCTTGAGTATCAGGCTCTTGGTTTGGGAGAAGTGGGACTGTAAGTACGCTTACAGCAGGCTTACGTGTTCCAGGTAGTAAGTACACTTACTGCTTGGGACAGGTAAGTAAGCATAGCGCACTCTCACTCACTCAAGCTGTTGTCATCCTTCCCCCAGGTCTCCTTGTGCTCTGTCACTCCAGGTGCTTATTTTAATTGATACCTTCTGTCGGGTGGGAGTGTGACAGATGGCAGAGACTTTGACCTTTCAGGCGTGCATTGGGATATATGTGACCTGTGGGCCATCTGCTGAGTGCCAGTGTTTGCAGTCAGGCTTGGAGATGCGTTGTTGTTCCTGCATAAATCTCTGAATGGTAGCGGGTGATTTCCTTGAACTTTATAGTATCTGTTGCCAAATCCATTGGGGTATTAATAATCTTTACATTCAGTTCTGCTGGGCAATAGCAGCAGTGCCAGTGCAGGGACAGCTTAATGTCACAGTGTAGCTCCTCTGCTGGTTTGTCAGGTAAGAACTAAAACACAGGAGCAGCAGGAGAGACTTTTCCACCCCTCCGGCAAAGGGCAGGAGGTGAGGTGGGGGACACCAAACCCAGCTGCATCTGGACAGCCAGGGATGAGGGAAAATGCTGAAAGGCAGTGGGAGTGAGGGGTGCTGCATGGCAAGCAGCTGGGGTGAAGCAAACTGGAGCAGAGCGGCAGAAAGCAGAGGGATCAGTGAGGAACGGGGAGAGCTGATTACGGGAGGCAATGCACAGAATGTGCCAGTAGAGGCCATCTCAAATGAGATGTTCCTCTGTGGCAAGCATACTAAGGTCTAACTATGTTTCTTTCATCAGCCTGTGGGTCACTGATCCTGCCCATAGATAAGCCAGGGAGGAAACTTGCCCAGGGTGAAGTCTCACAGAAATTCTAACAAACGAGATAGATGCCAGCTCTGATCCTGTTTGACATCACCCCCACCCCTTTTTTCCTTCCCCTCCGCTGTGACTGCAGAGCATGTGGGGTAGGTTAACAGGGCTTGCCAGGTTTGCAGGAACCGCCTGCAAACACGGAACAGAAGCCACTGGCCTTCCCGGCAAATCCCAAGCATGTGTTCCACTGACCGCTTAACTAGGGGGTCAACAGGCAGGTTTTTTCATTCAGTGATTATACACATATATGCCGCCTTGGCTGCTGAGCTTGGAGTGGCACTTGTGGGAGGTGATTGTGGCTGGCTGGAGCCCAAGGGGAATTAAAACTTGATGGTTTAAAAAATATATTGGTATATACACACTTAGAACAGCTTAATACTGAGCAGATCTCCAAGATGCTTGAGTGCACCCGTCAAAATAATGAGCAAGTCAGCTACCAGCTCTTTCTGTACCGTAGCCAGCCTTCTGCTGCAGCGGGGCCTGGCACCGTCATTCTCCGGCAGAATCCTCTTGGAATTATGCAAGACTGGAAACGTAACGTATTGAGTCAGGAAGTGTCTGACAGCGCGTCTGCCTCGTCTTCCTGACGTGACTTTCCCTGTGGCTCCTCCTTTCTGCTCGTCACAGTGTTGTGATATCTAGGTGGCCCATTAAGAAAGGTTATTGTGTGAAGGTGAAAAAATGCATTTCATCAAGGCATTGTTTTCAGAAATCACATCAAACTAAAATGTGGAAAATGTCTTACTCTTCCCTGGTTTGCTTTGTCCGTGTGTAATAGTCCATCTGTTGCAAAAAGCAGTAGTGTTAAAAATGGAGATGTTCTTCGGGAAGAAGAAGAGGAAAAAAAATGCTGATGTTTTGTTCTTTGGCTTTACTAATAAAGATCAAGCTACGCGGTGGTAATTTGTGTGATTCCTTTTTTTTTTTTTTCCTGTTGTACTCCTTCCTTCCCTCCAGCACTGTGGTAATAGCTGTCCCACTGACCTGACTGCCGAACCACCTCCCTATCTCATAGTCCTGCAGAATGAAACACATGCAGAGTGTGGGCAAATCGCCTTTTTAAACCTTCACCTTTTACTAGCATTGAAGACCTCTTTACTGCTGCTTTTCCCAGGTGATTTTTTGTGTACATTGCTTAGTGCAAAGCGTTGCTTTCCTCTCTGGTCACATAGGTCCCATTGAAGAGTTTGCAGCTAAAGCCTGACTCATGACTAGCTGGTTTTTAAGAACACATGTATGAAATTTCTCTGTCCAGCTGACTAACATCAGTTTTCCAGCTTTGAGAAAGCTTGATGTTTTTCTCTAGTTAGGCTTTAACAGAAGAAAACGTCAAGTCTGCTGTAAGCAAGGGGCAGTATTTCTGTTTCACAAAGCCCTCTGCCTCTGAGAGCAACTGCTGCTTTTTTGAATTAATAGCATATGTAGGGACCTGAAGATAATCTGTACAAATTCAGCTGTAGCTAGATAAATGCGTTGGGGCTTTTCTAGCACGTCAAAACAGGGTAGGATAGAGAGAGAGAGACGTAGGAGGAAGCATGTGTGCTGCCTGTCAGGTAATAGGTAAGCAGCAGTGTGCTGCCTGAGCCCTGTCCCATCAGGGTGTTCTGATGCAGCAGTCTTTTTCCTGGTAAAATTGTTCACTTTTCCCCCCATTTGTTTTCACTGGTTTCACATCGGTGCACAGGCGCAGGAACCCAGTCTCTGCCCAGCAAAGCAGCCGTGATTCGCACGCAGGGAGCGGTAGTGACCTGTCTTCAGCCACCGCTTCTCTTCAACAGCTACAAGCGGGCTGCTGTAAAGCCAGCTGTAGCTGTTAGATAAGCTAGGGTTAGGCAGCAGGCAATAACTATGTACAGAGACGCATACCCCTATCCTTGTGACTTCTTTCACTACATAAAGCCAAAATAACACTTACGTGCAGCTAAGGAGCTACCTCCACCTGCAGGGGCTGGGGTCGAGGGCTGATTAACTTGTCACTGTTCCCTCTGTTTTCTCTGCTGTCCCCTTCGCCTTGCAGCACCCAGCCCCTTGGGACGGTGGCTGCCAGTTGCACCTCTCCTCTTTAATAGCATTAGTATCAAGCAGTTGCTTTGTAGAAACTGCCTTATGCCGGATGTTCCCCTGCATGGTGTCTCCGCAGTAGTTTCCCTGTCAAAGAATACAAACAACCGTAAAATCCCAGAAGCCAGCTCAGCCCCCCAGCGACATGGTGTCAGAGGGGAGGGCTCCCACAGCCACGGAGCCTGCAAAGACATCCTGGCCCGTTTCTCTCATCTACTGCATTAGCAGTGATGCATTAGTTAGACTAGAAAAAGAAAAAAATGGGGGAAAAAAAAAAAAAGTAAGGCTCCACTATCTGACAAGGTGTTTTATCTTCTTGGCTGACCTGTGTGCCAAAAAGTGGCTTCTTGGGTATAGACATATAAAACTAACCCATCTGAGGGTTTTGGGGTTGGTTTTTTTTTATTTGTTTAAGTAGGGAAGAAAGAGCAATACCTCCTTTGCGTCTTCACATAGTCTGAAGAGCTTGTTGGAAAATGTAGTCCCAGCTGTTTGTTTTCACAGCAGTGCAAGCTGTCACAGGGCTTTAAAGAAAAGGAAAAAAAAAAAAACAAAACCCCACCCACAAAACAAAAAAGCTTGTCACTGCATTATCTTTTCCCAACATGATAATGAAACACAGGCGCAGCTGCCTGGCAGCCCCAAACCGAAATGGCAGGGTTGGTACCCTCCCTGTCAATCCGGGGCCTATTTGCAGCACAACTGATGCGTCAGCCTGCTAATTACAGGGAGGCACTGCAGGATGCTGCTGGTGACGTTTGCCCCTCTCCTATGAGCCATGGGGCACCCAGTCACACCAGCGAGGAGGAGGTGGAGGAGAGACGCGAGAACAAAAAAATCCGTGAATAAGCTTGTGCTGCTTTAGTGGCTTCAGCCCAACAGCGCTGCCTCGACGGGCTCCCTCGCCCACACCTTGGCAGAGGTCTCTCAGGTGCCCTGGGCCTGATAGCAAGGGCCAGGGCTGCGTACTTGCTGGAAGGCTGAAGAAGCAGCAAAACTTTATGAACCCTCAGACTGCGATGAACTTAATTCACCCATTAATATGGAGCCTTCCCTCAATAGCCTGTAAGGCAGCACTTT